TTCTATCTCTTTCAAGTTTTCCAGCCACGGAGAAAACGCAATACAAATTTTTGTTTCCTTTTACTGTAAAGCCATGTGCGAGCGTGTAGTTCTTTTCTGTGGGATATGCATTGCAAAAATGTCTGGGTCTGGAAGATTGCGAGATTTGTCATGCAGGTTTTCCATGACCCATGAGGTCTGGTTCTGGTATGCATGACATAGCATGACAGATTCTGCGGGGCCTTTCTAATGCCTAAGCTGCATAAGAAACTGCCTCTCGATTAGGTCAAAAGTGCACAGCTTTTGGCAATCATGCAACACAGTTTTTTGCCTGGTTCAGATTTAGCATGACAAGTTGCATTCTACTTCCTCTGCTCCAGCTAAGGTGCTCCAATTTCCTCTGCTCCAGCTCTAGCCCGTCGCCCGACGCAAACTCCTGGCTTTTGGCGTAGTAGGTTGAGTAGCGGTCCGGAAACTGGATCTCCATGCAGGGATCGACGATGGAGAACATGGCACGACTGGCCCCGCCCCGGTGCGTGTACAGGTGCGCGTGCGGCGGTTTGCCGTAGATCATCGCGTAAAGGATTATCCCCAACGACCAAATATCCGTTTCCGGCCGCATTTTCATACTGGACTCGTACTGCTCGCCCTGGTGGAAGGCCTCCGGGGCCATGTACAGAACCGTCCCGCAGTGGCCGTGCCTGCTAATGTGGGTTTTGTTCGGTTCCAGCACCCTGGCGAGCCCGAAGTCGGACAGCTTCACCTTGGTCCGATTGTCGAACAACAGAAAGTATGCTGCGCAAAAGTACCGCACTGCTACTCATTGCAAGTAGAACCATGCATGACAAATCGATGTATAATTTTTATACCTAGAAGTCGCCAACCTAGCATGACAAATTGCATTTTGAAAGTTGAGAACAGTTCTTCTACTTGCAATAAGACAAGACTTATTCTGTGCGATCCATTTGGATTGCGTACGAAGTTGCCGGGTTTATTCAGGTCAAAGTGCACGATCTTCTGTGCGTGAATGAAGCGGACCGCGGCAACCATTTGTGTGAAGCAATGCAGGATAACCGACAACGGACTCCTTACCGGCCACCGACGCGACGCGCGCGCGGTTTTCCTTGGTCGTCTGGAATGCAGCACCGGTCATGCTCGGTGCTGCATTCCAGACGACATGGGTCGTAGAGAATCTGCATGACAAGTCTCGCAACGTTCCAGACCCAGACATATTTGCATTTGACAGGCCGCTGCTGCTGACGATAGCCATCTCGACCTGTCCAACATATCCATAATCGCACACGAAGAGTCCTCCATAATCGAAGCAGAAGATGATATGCAGGAGAAAAACAAGTGTGTGTAGTGTAAATCTTTTGGACGCCGGAAAGCGCCAACATCACTTGCAATTTGGCGCAGGTGGTAAAATAGAACAAGTCCGTGCTCCTGTATTAAACCCGGCACGATGACTGTAGCGGGTGCCCTTTAGTATACAGCTCCCTAAAAATTACATTCTTCGGCATTACGGAAGATCTACACTAGCAAGCACATTTTTTTCGCTGCGACACAACCTACAGGCCACAATCAGAGTCTGCACGAACTGGTAACACCATTAAGCGGATGTGGTGCGGCTGCGGGCAGTGCATTTTCCGACGTTTCGCAACAGCTGCCGCCGCCACCACAATTGGACCTTTCCTATGTTCATTTGTCGCGTCAGCCTTCGTCCCTGGTCGGGTTGAGCAATAACACGAGCGTTGACGACGGCGGCGTCCCTGCAGGCTCGCTGGATATGAGCAACAATACCTTGGACAGCATGACGCCTCCGACTCCCCCTGTCCTCCGATACCTTGGACAGCAATGCAGGATAACCGACAACGGACTCCTTACCGGCCACCGACGCGACACGCGCGCGCGGTTTTCCTTGCGGCCAACCGACAACTCCTTTCCTTTACCACCCCCTAGTCAAGATGGGGAATCGGCTAGACAAGTCCACAAGTTTTGGCTGTTTTGCATGACAACTTTGGGCTCGAAGCGTAGTGCTCCTGTTTGAGGTAGTTCAGCAGCATCACGCATCTAGTACATCGTGCTGACTGGAGCATTACAAATCCCAAAACACAACTGCAAAATGCTTCTCATGGGGCTTCGCATGACAAACATTTTGAGCCTGCAGATTAGCATGACAATTCTGGGACGGGGACGCTTTTACACAGAATAGCCCAGCGGCTCATCCGGGACCAGTTGAAGTTGTCGCTCGCCCTCTTCCAATACCAACTGCAAAAATGTCTGGGGCTGGAAGAATGCTGCAAGACTTGTCATGCAGGTTTTGTATGATCCATGATTTCTGTGATGCACCGCGTAGCATTACAGAGTTAGTGGGTGCCTCCTGATGCCCATACCGCATGAGAAATACCGTAACCGCGTAGCAGAAACTGGACTGGTGTTGCTCCTCACGCATTACAGATTTTTGTAGGATCCAAAGGCAGCACCAGCATAACAAGCTGGAACCCTATTCCGGACCCACTCATATTTGCATTTATGCATATACAAGGGGCACGAAAGGCCTGCGAGCAGGTCGTCGGTGCTCCGGAACAGGTGGTCGTCAACAGGCGTCGGGTGCTGCAGAAGCAGTATCAGAAGATCGTGGGAGCCATCCGAGACACCGTATCATACTGAAAACTTTATCGTACTGGCAGGTGCGACGTGGTATAAAATCTGTCTGCATCTTCGTCCACAAAAAAAAATTTCCTTTGAAACGCAATTTTTTGCAAGATAGCGCAGAGTCGTCTTAGACACGTTGCCGTGTGCTGAGTTCGGCCACAATCCAACCATTGTGGAGAAACCTTTTTTCTTTGAACAGACGAAATCAACAAGCTCCATCTGTCAGGCTGACATGAATCTTTTCGACATGTCTACTTAGCTGTCTTTGAAGACCCGTAGAAAGACACACTGCCAGCTTGATGTAAAGTTTTCAGTTTGAGAACGCAAAGAGCGAATCGACGCGGTGGTCAAGCTGCTGGAGCAGCATGACAATGTCGTGGAGCGCGGCTACTACCAGGCCATGTACGGAACAACTGTCGAACAAAACATTGTGCGCAGCCAGACCACAAACGGAGATGCTAGTGCCGGCACTAGGCTACAACAGGGACAGCCGAGTAACTCTCTCGTCGCGCGGCCAGTAACTCTCTCGTCGCGCGTCTCTCGGCTCGTTGTCACCCCCGACGCACCAACGGACTCCTTACCGGCCACCGACGCGACACGCGCGCGCGGTTTTCCTCATTTGGAAATGGGATCCTTCAATTGGTGCTTACGATACGACTCTGGACTTGCCGACGACATTGCGATACTGGTTGTGGATGAGAAAACGATGCTACGATGGGAAACCGATGCTCTAATGGGAGAAGATGACGTGATGAGGATTGGGGCACGAAGCTTGTGGAAGTTGTTTATGGATTTATGCTATACAGATTTGGACTTACGATTTAGAATTCCATGTAGGATATAGACTTTTAGTTTCGGCCTGTTTCTGTATCAAGCTTCTGTAAGATTTATGGTTTTAGATTTTGACTATGAGAAAAAGCGTTGGGGGCGGTTTGGGTAAATGAAAACTGGTTGGAAACGCTATTTCTCATAGATCAAATTGCAAAAATGAACAGGATGATAAGAAAAAGGAAGCGAAATCGATCGAGCAAGAAAAAGACCAAAAACCAAGGAAAAGCAAGCAAATTCTTGCCACGATCGACAGAAAAAGGAAAAGGAAAAGAGAAGAAGAAGAAGGCAAAGACATTAGGTTTGATTTACATTGGATCCGCATGAAAAACTGGACTTTCTTACTACTTTCAAGGAGCGGAGCCATGGCTACGGTCACAATGGGCAAGGTTAGGAATACGAATTTAGCATAAGAAACTGGAAAAACTAGACTGCGGATTAAGGATTTGTAATGCGAACCTATTGAATTTGAACTAGTTTTAGTTGGTGTTCGATTATGATCTCGGTATGCTTGCGGTTGAGAATTAACCTCTCCATTTCGAAACTAGATCCTTCAATTGGTGGAGAACCTGGGCATAGTTCGACTCAGATGCAACGCGTAGCCTTACCGTTTTAGCTAGATACCCCACCACTATGACCCCGAGCAGAATGCTGAAGGAAAAGCCGCACCGCAGAAGCAGGGAAGACCGCCGCAAAGAAACCGCAAAACAACCAGAACAGGAAGAAAGAAGGCTTGCTATAGGGTCTATAGCAACAGACGAGAACTCACCTGGACCGCAGGCGAAGTAGAAAACAGTGGAGATGTACGAACCACGCACGACGTGGGGTGTTGATGGAGTACGACCGCGCGAAATTGATTTGGACGGGGAAATGCTGCAACAGGATAGATTGGAAACCGACAAGACCAGTCCCAGAACCGGAGGCCGCTTTCGTTATTTCTAGCACTACACGGGAAAGATTTGTTACACGGGATTTGTTTTTAGACCACGGGATATATTTGTTTAACGAGACCTCAGTCGCGCTACAGAGTTCGCGGGAACTAGTTCGACAAACGACGCGGCTGGGGTACGTTCCAAGATTTGTTTACGGATACGGGTTTTATTTGGGTTCACGATTTACGGACTCCTTACCGGCCACCGACACGACGCGCGCGCGGTTTTCCTTGTCGCAGCGGCAAAGCTTCTTTGCGTGTCTTGCATTCATTTTCTCGTGCATCAGTCGTGTACAGTAGCTAGATTGACATTGTATAATTTCTCCCCTTTTGCTGTTCCTCGCGCAGTTCATGAGTCGCCTTTCTTCAACTGGAAAATGAAAAAATTCGCGGCCAGGAAAATCAACAATGGTTTTCAATTTTTATGCAAGACAAATGTCCGTCGAAGTTGTGATGCTGTTTTTCATATACAGTAACAAAGGCACGTAGAACAACTCGAAGGCGAAGTGGAGGAAGTCGAAGCAAATCCTTGATGTCGAAGCAAATCCTTGATATCGAGGTTGCTGTGGTGTATGTTGAGAGTGAGATGAGGGACGAGGGCATACAAGCAAAACCATTCACACAACGAAAATAGGCCATGTTCTTGGTGCATAATGCAGTACATTCAACAAAAAAAGTCTCACTTGCTATACAGCAAAGCTTATCCACTGCAAACATGTCGGGTGGTCTGGAAATTTCTTATGCTATTTCAGCAATATTAATGGTTGGCGTACTGCAATTTGCAGCTAAGCATGACAAGTTTACAGCTAGTTCGTACATGATGCTGCGTTTTCCGCAAGGAGGCCCGCGCTTTTGGTGACACGCATGAGGCTTTATTTTCGCTTCTCATGCATGACAGAATTGAGAGTGAGGGGAAACCAACAAGACAAACCTTTATTCATCTTCCAGACCACCCAGACGTATTTGCGATGCATAACTACCCAGACGTTGCCCGCGTAGTTTTGGCGCTTCTTCTCCTTCTGCTAACCTTCGTAGCTTGGCCGGCGGGACTCGGGACACGGTACCGTGGGTCTGGAGAGTTGCAGCTGGTACTTCTGCATCAGTATACACTACAAACACGTCTGTGTCTGGAAGGACGCAAACCTGTGATGTGGAAACTGAAACGGGCAAAAATCAGTGCTGCATGGGCTGCGGTTGCAAAGGGTGTGCGTTGTTGTCGTGCAGAAGAGGGGTCCAGGAGTCTCCGCAGAGTTTGTCATGCCCCTTGTTTAATACTCCATGGTACAGACCTCCTTGCAGTGACAGAAACGGCATGAAAGATGGCTTCTTCCTTCAAGACCCAGACACATTTTTGCATTTGATAATCAGCGCAGCTGCGTATCGTTCCGACGCTTTCAGCTCCATGACATGCGTATCCGATGCGAATGTGTCTGGGTTCTTTGGTAAACTGGAACTTGTTATGCTTGCCTTGTATTTCTGCAAAAGCTGTATTGCATCAGCGGACTCCTTACCGGCCACCGACGCGACGCGCGCGCGCGGTTTTCTGTGGACGTGGATATCAAATGCAAAAATATCTGGGCCTCGAAAGTTGGAACTTGTGATGCTAACTTTGGACTCTAAAAAAAATCTGTATTGCATGACC